CTGTTCATATCAGTGTTTTCAAAAGAGTAACAGATAATAGCAAATTACCATTTTTTTTCCTGATCTTGCCATAATACTATTCAAATCTTTTCAAAGTTAGATTATCTTCCTCCCAGCATGTAAATGCTTCATTTGTATAAAAATCCGTATCGATGGTGGAGAGATCAAATTTAAGGTTCTAATTTCCTTTTATTTTGAATAGTTGGAGGAAAGCAACCCAAACACACACAAACTTTTGTCAACATTTGCAAATGAGTTGTAAGAGTATATTAATTATTCCTGCCATTAACAGCAAGGTCACAAATGCAACTAAGGTTGAACTAAGAGGTCTTGGATGTGTCAACATACAGATTTCTTTTTTAGTTCATCCTTTTCCCCCCAGAAAACACAAGGCTTTGGGACATGATATTCACCAGAAAAACACCTAGGTTGGAAGAGTAGATGAAATGGGGGGGGGGGATGGAAGGGAAGATAGTTATTTATAACATGGAAACTAAGCAATGAGCCAAAGGAAATATATACTTACAAATATATATCAAATTAATTTACAACCCTCACAGGACTTCTCTCTTCAGGTGATTAGGAGTTAAGAGTGAATTTTCAGCAGGATCATGACTGAAAAAAGTTTCTGTTTGTTTGTTTTAATCTGCTTTATGCCTTTGTTCCAGTCTGAACTGCCTTCTGCCAACAGTTATTATTTTTAAAAGGGAAAACAGCACACCAGGCATCTAACCAATCGCTCGCTATGAAAAGTTCAATATCATTCTTTTCCTGTATATTTTCCCGAGCTGAATCCTGAATAAATACGTAGATATATAAATGTGATGAGGTTATTGAAAACCAGATGAAATAATTGTAGGCATTGATACTACTTCTCCTCCTGAAATATTTGTCCATGTTGCCATGCTCTTGGCAATTCTTTCTTTGTTTATGTAAACACAATTAAAAACACCATATAGAGGGGTTTTTTATTATTATTAATGAGCCCTTTTAATGTTTTTGGAAAGGGAAGCAACATGAAGGCCTGCTCTGAGAACCTGAATCCCAACTGGTTTGATCTGCCCCAGCTGTCTTCATTCTGAGACCTCCATGAATCTGTTGGCTGACTCTGTGCTCTACTAAAGAATCAAGCAATACCAAGAAAAAAAAAAACATTCATACAAAACAGTAATGTCTGACAGCTGACAAAACCTAAAAGTAACATGTGCCAATTTTTCTATGTCCTTTCCTACATACAATTTTCCTATATTTATTAATGAATTATTTTAACAGAATATTAAAAATAGAGAAACACAGCTTTATTAAGCAAATGGAGAAGAACAGGACTTAATTCCATCCTCCTTTTTAAAGTTATGTGTAATATTATTAAATTCCCATTAGCATCTCCATACAGCACATACCAATACATACATATAACTGTGATAATATATGGATTTTAACAATTTTATTAAACATTACAATTATAAAGATGAAAACTAATATAAATTAAAAAACAATAAAGTATAGAAGAAAAAATAGAAAAAATAAGAATATAGTAAAGAAAAAAAGAAATATATAAAGAAGTGATTTCGTCCGCCATGATAAGTATAAATTTCAGTAACTTATTACCTCTTAAAATATAACAAATGATCTCTTTTTTCCCATGTCTCAGTTCTTATCTATAATTGGATTAATTGCTTGGATATAAAACTATCTGAGAATCATGCTTATATACCCTAGGTTCAATGGTAGAAAAAAAATAAGATTATAAATATAATAAATGTGTATGTTACAATCAACCCCTCAAAGTATTCACTATCTGAGCTAAATGCTAGGGTTTTCTAGTTTTAAATGATTTGCATATCCAGTATGTTAAATTATGACAAAATTTTTGTTTACCACTTCTAGGATTTTTTGTTCCTTATATGTTAGGTGTGAATCGCCACCATGTCAAGTGTGAATTTTTAGTTATGTTCTATTTGATGTTGATTTTCTGTAGAATTGTTAGTGGAACGAGGAAAATAGTTAGCAAAATATTATAATAATGACAATCCAGAACAAAAATTCCTCTATGCTTTAATTTCCAAAGAATACTAAGATACCCGATTAATTTTGGAATCCTTCCTTTCTCTCAGTACGTTTCCTTAATCCAGATCAATTCAGCAGCTTACAATGTAGGAAGAATACAGATCATGTATTTCCACCAACAGACCCCCTGTTCAAGGGCGTCCATGATGGCAGAGGATGAAAAAAAAAAATCAAGATGGCAATTGTAACCACACAATCAAAACCAGCACATCTGGACCTATTCCTCCAGTTATTGCTGACTATATTCATAGTAACTATAAAAGATTTGAGGCACACATCAAGTCTCTTTATACAAATCTGTTACCCATGCAGGAAGCAGTTGAAACAACAGCAGCAAAAATTTATAAAGACGGGCATGGAGAGGTTGGAAAAGTATGGGAATAAAATACAACACAGGTCAACAACACAAGGAGCTCATATATTGGATGCCTACAATCTTAAAAAACAATTCACAAACTATTAACTAAAACACCAGGTTTCATAGTGTTCTATAAATAAATAATGAATTCATAAGGAGTTCCAGTATTATTTGCTCTTCCTATATAGTTTTCTTCTAATTAAATGCTTTCCAGCACATATACATTCCATTTACTTATTATGGGGCACACACAATTTGACTTTTTGGTTTAATTTGCTGAATGCACCTAATTTGTTTAAAACAGACATTGTCAGAATTCTCCATTTCAAGATGAAGGCAGAGTAGAAGTGGAAATGGAGACAGATGCAGAGACAATGGAAATACTATGGCAGCACACCATCTTGCCCTTATGTTCAGTTAAATTATATGTCCAATGCTTCCACTTCAATCCAAGTGGAAAAAAAACCTACAGGGTGCAACATTTATCCAGCTGTATGAACTTTGCAACCAGATGTTCTCTGCCAACAAAGCAGGATCAACATAACACTGAATCACTGTCTTCTGCCACCAGCTGAATATGCTTTTGGCAAATCAAGTTTAAGACCTTTGTAATATAGACCATCTCTTTCATCACCTGATTAGATCTTGCAATATGAAAGAGGTTTGGCAAGATTGATGATAACCATCTTCAACAAGGATTCCTGCTATAACCATTAGTTATTTGCAAAGCGTGAATGTGCTTTAGCTTTCCTTAGCTAAAACTGCAAGCTAATCTCAGAGCAAGCTAAACTACAGTACTTGGTCTTTTTTTGCATTTAAAATAAGAAAATGCACTGTCAAATAATATAATGTGCAGGTTGCATAAAAGGGTGTATATATGTATGTGCATGAGAAGTGAAAAATTGACCACATAAAGTCTCTCATATGTTCCTCAATTATAAAGCAACAAAAGCAATATTTTACATGCATATATACATGCATACTGTACATACATACATACATACATGGTTTCCTTGGCAATAATAAAATGTGGAACATTAAGCATGTAAGAGCATGCAGTGTCTTATTAGTTTGTTCAAAAAATGTAAGCATCTATGAATCAATGCATATTCCAGAACAAAATTAGTAACTGAAATACATGCTTCTCTGTACTTTTGTATATCTAAAGATTTAGAATATCTTCAGTATGTTCTAAAACCATTTCTTAAAGGCCATTACAGAATTATTATTTATAAATAACATCAAAAATATCCTAAGAGGACTGTGCTAGAAAGGATTCTGAAGCACTCAGGGCCCATATCTAGTCCTCAAGAGCTCTTTAAAATGAATATATTGCTGCTGTGCTGTGTTTTGTTGTGCTTTGCTCAAACAAAACAGGAAAAAAAATTAATTATCTGATCCTATTATTGAAGTAAGGTAAAATCTATATTTTGCCCAGATACTCCCCCCAAAAGATTGTCTTACTATTTTCAAGTTTGAATGCCTCCTTTATATTAATTTACTAAAACCATACAGAAAAAAAAATCTCGTTATTAGATCAGTGGTGACTGGGATGATTATTGTGTGTACCAAGAGAGATATACAATCTCAGTTAAGTAAATTAAATTGAATATAAATGTATTGTTCTAAGAATCCAGCCCCTAATGAATAGATGGGCGTAATTTAAATTCAGTATATGGAATAAAATATCTTTTAAAATAAATTTTGTCATACATCATTTAGATCACATGTAGCATTCCTTTATATACTGCCAAGCATACATTTTTAGAAATGCATGTTTGAAAGTTGACTGAATCCTCATTTTTTATTTAGGAACCTTCAACTGTTGAAGAATAGAATAGCTAATGAATGACAAATTCTACCCTGTTTCCCCCAGAATAAGACATCCCCTAATAATAAGCCCAATCAGGCTTTTTGAGCACATGGCAATAAGGCCAAGCACTTATTTCAGGGTTAAAAAAAAATATAAGACAGGGTCTTATTTTCGGGGAAACGTGGTACCTATTAAAAATCTCAATTTATTTGACTCTCTTACAAGTTTATTTATAAGATTTATATCTCAGTTTTTCTTCAGAAGCTCAGAGTAGGAAATACAATTCTCTCTTTTGCCAATTTTACTCACAATAATAACTTCTGTTATGTGGACTGGATAAAAGAGAAAAACTGTCCCAACATCACCCAATGGCTTTCTGAGGCTAAATTTATGCTATAATGTGGGCCTCCCCAGTGCCCAACTGACGCCACAGCTCTTATAGTCTTATACCTTGGAAAGGGTAGAGTTCCCTCCTTTTACTGCATTAGTTGTCACCGAGTATATACAAATTGCTACCGATGTGAAAGACATAATGGAGTAATGTTCAACTTCTATTAATCGGTCTCAGGTGATTTTTTTTGGTATTTCTATGAAAAATAAGCATGGCAATTTACACAACAGAAAATTTCTACATGGAACTGATTTTGGTGTAATAAATTGTCTTTCTACTATCCTTGAAATTGTGAATGAGTCCTCAAAATACTGGCATGATTCTGATAAATAAAAGTACATTTACTATCCAAGAATGTATGTATTTATTACCTGCAAGATATTCATCTTTCCTTAAGTTTATTACCATCAGCTGGAGGACCAAGCCTGTTTAAAGAGAGAGCGAGAGAGAAGAGGTAAATTGTATTACTAAAGAAATAACATTCCTTATTCTAAATCACTGCAGCAAACATCTGGCAAATGGATAAGTGTTACTGAACTGTTTCTCTACTATAATAATAACAATAGCACTTAGACTTATATATCACCCCACAATGCTTTACAGCATTCTCTGAGTGGTTAACAATGTCAGCATATTGCCACCAACAATCTGGGTTCTCATTTTACTGACCTCGGAAGGATGGAAGGCTGAGTCAACCTTGAGACGGTCAGGATCAAACTCCAGACCGTGGGCAGAGTTAGCCTTCAGTATTGCATTCTAATCACTGCACTAACAGGACTCTGAAATCCAGATACTATGCATCTGGTTTTCATTTCTGGCTTAAATGTGTTTATTTCAAAAACCTAGACCCTTTTTAATGATCAACAAAATCATTCAGAAGAAAACCTGGTTTCAAAGATCTAACCACAAATGTTTGTTCACACACGCACGCACGCACTCACACACCCATCCATCCATCCATCCACAGGATGAGATGATATTCCTGCGCTGCTGACAACACTGCCATCCATAGGAGAATTATCACTACCCTCAATAAATAATTTTTACTAGCAGCCTAATTCAAAGCCCCTTTTCATAGGCCAACAAAAGTATTAGATTTTTAAGGACATGATGTTACAAAAAACAAAAATTTGGAAAGTAGGAGGAAATATAAAAAAATTAGATCAGATCTTTCAGTATGTGGCTAATAGTTCTTCCCCAAAGCAACTTGACTTATTTGTCTTTTTATAAGTAGTCAAACATCCCAAATTATTTTTTTAGCTTTCCTGTTAATGTTCTTTTGTTCCTGCTCTCAGCTAAGCTATCTATGTGCCTTGGCCAAGACAAGAAATAGATTAGAGACCATGTCCAAAGGGACACTTATTATCATTCTTTTATTCAGAACCAGAAAAAAAGAGGAATACTTCCAGTTTTCATGAGAATTCCCAGTTCTGATAATACGATGCACAGGCAAGGTTCTATTTACCCGTAATTATGTATCACGATTTTTTGTCCTGGTTTTTAAATAAAAATACCTGGATATTTCATTTTTTAAAAATTAATATTTCTATGTATTTCCCCCTTTTTTAGCATAGTGGACGGACTGACTGTATATTCTCAAGCTGGTTCAAGTTGCTTCTCAAGCAACACACACAAAATCAGCCAAGCTTGTATTCTGTAGGAGGCAAAGTAGTGTGAGAGAGGTCAGCAGAAAATCCATATTTCATTGAATGCTAATATTACCCTTCTGTAATACTGAAAAAAGGCAACTACACAGCTGTACCAACAATAGCTGAGTTATAATGACATTTTCCATGGCACAAAATATATAATTCCCTTGATACAGAAATATTATTTGAGAGATAATGTTTAGATCCTGTACAACAAATTAACAATGACTATACATTCAAAGAAAGTATCCAGAAAGGTTGAAGATCCATTGCTGCCTAGAGTCACTTGAGAAAGAGGTCATGGGAAGCTCACAGAATGCATAACACCATCTCTACTTAGATTAGAGCAGTCCAAATTGTTCATAACATGGATAAGGTATTGCCAAGAAAATTCCATTCATTTTACAAAATTCCATTCATTTTTCTCATGTGCTTAACTGAATAGCATCCCAATTAGCCAACTCTGTATGTTTTCATGTAAGATGGAGTAAAATGAATGTGTTTTACCAGACCTTCTGTTAGAAAGGGAAACAGCAAAAGAGCATGAACAGAAGACCGCAAAATCTCATTTTGATATATAACTGGCAGATATCCAACCCTAAATGTAAAGGGAACGGAGCCAAAACAGTGCCCAACAATGTGCCTCCATGCATCCTGGTGTCATCAAATTGCCTACCCCTGGATTAAAATATAGAAAGCAAAAGGATGGAACTGCTGGGAAGTTTTAAGCGACATTAAAATGAGCAGGACTGATTCAAAGGAGCAATATCTTTTAATTTGACAGAACATTGTGAAAGAAAAATTTGCTATTCTGAAATCCTGCTAGGCCTTTTCTCCAAGACAATAAACAAAACCCACTGCTTAATGTGGTGATCTCTCCTTCACTCATGTAGGGACTACCTCTATACCACCTCTACCCATTCTAAAAGGGCAGCACAGTGGAGTTAGGCAACTTTCCAGATGTTGTTGAATTAAAAACAGGGGCAGTAGTGAGGCATATGGTAGTTCAGAAATATCTAGAAAGTCACAGGTTCTCTATCCTTACCCTTACATCGTTATTTGTACTTTGACAGTCCATAAAATTTGAAAAGAAGGCACCACTATCTCTATCACCACTGCTGCCTTCTAGTCTTTGTCTACTGCCACACTATCTGGTTGTATCTGCCTGTCTATTGGGATCTGGAAATCACAAAGGATTTTAGCCCTCTAATTTTCCACAATCTTCTGTGGGATCCTCTCATCTAGACTTAGCAGAGTCTAGTCCATATTCTACACTGATATTCCTGGACATAATGACAGCTTACTTGGTTGTGCTGTTCAGTTGTGCTATTCCTGCCTGCATTTTATACCATGTCACTATGTGTTGGACTGTCTTCAAGGTGTCTCTGCATAGTCTGCACCTTGAGTCCCGTCTAGCGTGGTAGACTTCTGCTTCTATGGATTTGGTGCTTAGTGCCTGTTTTTGTGCTGCTATGATCCCAGAGACTGTTGCCTGAGGCTAGTGTCTCTTAGTCCAGCCTTTTTCAGCCACTGGTAGGATTTCCCAATGTCTGATATCTCAGCTATCTGTCCAGGATTACAATGGCTGTAATGTATTATCAGTTCATTGGTTTGAATTATTGTGGTAGTAGGGATTGTTGTGAGGGCTCTATTGGCATCCTCTAACATACTTCTTTGCTAAGCTTTGATAATCAGTCTTGAGGGTTGATTGTAGCTAGTTTATCCATGATGTTATGCCTCATATCAGTAGCTGTGCTCTGTAATTAGAAGGTAGTAATGACCTATATATCCCTTCTCACTAGGATAGTTGTTATAGTAGCATTCCATCAGTTTTAGGTTCTCTTGTCTCACGCATGTATTATTTTGTTCCAGAAATCCACTTATCATTAGATTGTCCTGGTTCCTCAACATCTGATGTGGACCTTGTTAATCCAGGTGATGTCCAAGCCAACCTGACTCTCCTAGTCCAGGTCACTCTTATATTTTGAGGTAGACAGGTGAAGCGTTAGGGAGTCTTTGCCCAAGGACCTCCACTGGTAAGATAGGTGCTAACCAGGATTTGAACCTCAGTATCCTACATCAAAAGTGCTGCTCTAACCACTACACTATCCTATCCTACACTACACTATACACAGAGAGAGAGAAAGAGAGCACATATAACATAGACAACACTATCATTTTGACCTACTTCATAATGTGGTTGTTTCAAATATAGAAGAGGAATGGGAGGCATCACATGTAACAAGCACCATAGGAGAAATGGTTGGATGACAAAAAGTAATAAATAGATCCAAAAATTCTACCATCAGTACTGCTCCTATCACAGGCAGCAGCACTATTAAAAATCTTTCTTTCCAGTATCAAAGGACAGGATGCAGAAATCCACTCAACATTAAGGCCTGGAATAATCCCAGACTGATGCAACTCAAGGCCCATCTTCTTACATTACTCAACCTTAGAATATTAGTAACCACTTAAATCATGAAATACAGCATTTATCCTTTCACATTGCCAATTCAATTCATGTAGCAGATATTTTCACACACTGAAGGGCAACTAATGGAAACACTGAGAAATATCTGGGCAAAGAAAGAGGGGAAAAAGCTGCGAATGTATTAACTTGTAGCTTGAAGGAAATAAGAATGGGAGCTGTATATGTTTCCTATTTTTTAAAAAAATGGGTTCAGAAATGCCTCCCACACCACTTCCGGACTGCATCATAATGCAAGGAAGCCTGGAAGCCTTTGAAGACTCAGTGCTTGAAGCAAACTTGCATCTTAGCTACAGTTGGAAGCTCTTGTTTTCTGACCACCCACAGAGAAAAGAGCATGAATCTTTCATTTTAAATGCACGCTCCCACCCCCAACATGCAAATGTTTTCAACGGAGTGGAGGGAGAAGATTCATATGTAATCATTAGGTAATGCTTTGCTGAGGAAACAACTTTGGCCCAAACTAAACAGTTGGTTCAATTTAATAAAATTCATGAGGAATTCAGAAGTATTTGTTGAGTAAAATAAGGGCTGTAAAAATATTTGGGGTTCTGTACATCTCACAGATTTGTGTAAGAGAGTTCATCATCTAGGGAAATCAGAGCTTTCATTTAAAAGATAGGTTTCATATTGCAAGTTTCAGCTCTGGGCTCTCTCTGAAAGTATTTCAAAAGGAAGGGCTTTGGGGTTTTATCCTAATGGAGATCTTGCATTGTTTCCTATGCCTTTTCCCATCCCTTCAAACTTTGTATGACACTTTGTATGAAGAGAGAGGGGAAATAGAGAGGGGACAGGAGAAGGAGAGAAGGAGAAAGGGAGGTAGAGGGGGAAAGAGGAGAAGGACGGAGGGAAGAGAGAGAAGGAGAGGGGAAGAGAGAAGAGAGGGAGGAGAAAGAATAGGAAAGGAGAGGGGTGTAAAAATGGGTGAAATATGGTGTACAGGAGAAAACAGACAAACAATTTTGTATTTTTTTTCTTGAGGGTTATACTATTGAAACTATAACGGAAGATAATACAGATATTAAAACACATCAGTTTAGATGTTATTGCATGCTAGTTGATATTTATATGAAAATTAAAATTTTGTGTAAAAGGTAGGAGTAAATAATATGAAATAAGGAAAATGGAATGTAATAATTAGGAACATGTTTATATGTATTGAAATAGATGATACTCAAACATCACGCCATTCACACAATGATATGTATAAATCTGGAACCTAGAGAATCAGGTTTTTAATAGAGAAATAGTGGCTTTAAAAAAAAAAAAAGGACTTGGTTTTAAA